TTTTGACACCTGAGAGACACCGTAGCAACTCCTTTGTGTTTGGAGGGGGGGACCAGGGAGGATGATTCAACCACTCAACCACTAGATGTCGCTGAAAACAACAAATCCTGCTCACTGAGCCTTTAATGTTCATCATATTTGAAGCATGTTGCAGCAGTAGGATGTAAAATAGGGCTGATTCATGAGGGAAAAACACCTCATTCCACCCTCTGGTGTCACCCCCACCCCGCCGAACAAACCTAAACCCCCCAATCTCCTTCCACAATGAAGCCTGAAAATATTAGAAAAGCAGCAAAAAATCTACAGGAGGATAAAAATAAAAAGAGGCGGAAGTTGAATAAAGTTCGGCAGCGATGGAGAGACAGCGAGATCGGAAGTCAGCAATGAGATATCCGAAGTTTATTACATTTATTATATTTGTATAACTATATTTCATAGTTACGGTGAAGTTTACTTAGTTATTTTAGTGTCTTTGATGCAAAAAAAAAAGTTAAGACTGTTGAAAATATGGCGAAATGTTAAAAATACTGTGTATCTACAATGTTTCTGGCTCCCACATAGTCAAAATGCGGGTAAAAAAAARCGTAAGAGATCCTCGGAGCTTCCAGCGCTGCACACTTGTCCTCCTAATCAAAGGAATATAATCAGATGCACTTAAAGCAGGCAGACAGAAGCCTAAATGGAAGCTGCAGCATCTATCTGGCTGTAACCCAGTGAAGAGGACAGGGCCTGCACTCGGACAACCTCGCCTTTATTTCCTACAATTGCTTTTCTCGTGCCGTCGTGTACAAGAGGTTGAGAGTGCCGTCTTGTTTCTCCTGGTTCGGAGCGCCGTGCTCTGCCTGCGTGTGTGTTTGTTGTGTGCGAACCCCCTTCCTGCCTGACCCTCTCTCTGCTCTGTTTTCATTGCTGCCACTGAAGTGTGTTTGTGGGTCGGGTCTGGACGGAGGGGCGGGAGGGAAACAGAGAAATAAGAGGGGAGGGTCTCAAGTGCTCTCACTGCTTCTACATAATGGTCCCGGCTCCCGGCCGCTCCATTAGTTGCCCCTGGAAACCAGACATCACACACACACTCGTGTCCTCTCACCACCTCTGCTGACCAACAAAGCATCCTGGATGTTGTCTCCTTGGCGACCACCTCCCTCAGGTTTCCTCCTGGCTTGCGATGATGAGGAGGGACGATGGAGTCTGGAGGAAGAGGAGTGTGTGCAGATGTAGACTTGATTACAGGCCAGCTCTGTTCAAGTTGTCATCTTTGTTGATGGAAAAGTTGGGATTCTGTCKCCAGAACCAGAACAGGACCAGTCTTGGATCAAGACTAAAGCTAGAAACACTCAGAACTGATTAGTTCTCCCTCAGAGAAAGCTTAGAGCTGGTTTACTGTTCAGACTGCTTCAAGATGGCCACCATCCCAACCCTCTTTAGAAGATAGTCTGTTACTGTGTGTCTGATTCATGACTGGTCACAGTAAATATGTTGGAACTCCAAGGAGGTTCTATAGAACAGCTGGAGCTCAGAAACCAGGTGACCGTGTGATCGACTGGAGAAGCTAACGGCTAACGTAAAACGGTCAAGAGTCTGGATTTCCCGTTACTGTACATGTTGACAACAGAGCAGAAAAGTACTGACCATGTAGAAATCATTAAAACTATTAATAATTATTATTATTAATATTTTACAGTTAATAT